TCAGTAATTGCCATGGCTTCCGGTGGATCCCAATCTTAGCTAAATGCCCTCTGAATGGAATTAATCCGATACTGTAATACAATCTATTTCAGCAAGTTCGCATGGTAGAAACAGGAGATAGTGAGCTGAAAAACGCTTTACCGTATCTCATCATCTTGCTTTTGATCACAATCTCTGTGATACCATTGATGAGTAGTCATTTGGAAGAACGGCGAAAGGAAAGCCTCAAACGAGCCGAGAAAGCGCCATGGATTGATCAGATGCCGAATGCTTTGCCACTGCTGGTAAGGCCTCAACTTGCAATCAGGTGTGACGGTAAGGGGTAACCTCTACCTTCTGTACCCGCCACACACTTGCGATCCTACCCTAGGGTATAACACTTGGAATATTCCCACAGCCGATATTTCACCTGTTTTTGGGTCCAGGAACTTTACCCATTACTCCTATTACCAGAGTCTCCAAAGGATTCTACTAGCTGTGATTAGCAAACAACGAAGGAATTACACTTCCCAGTGAGAAATCCCAATCGCACCCCTAAATTCGCGTGGGGTGGACAGTCTGGACAAGCGACATGCTAAACTCTAATTCAGGAGGTCAACAAATACTACACAATCAGTCCCAACTTCTCATCACTCAGAAAACTTAATGACACACTGCGAAATTTCAATCAAGCCTACAAATTTCCAGTGGTAAGACTTGAGTTGCTCGCCACATCGACCGCTAGCGTAAAAAAACTGACAATCCCAGCATTTTTCTCGATTTACAGAACGAAACCATCGAGGACCAGGAGGCAAATATGTTTTTGGAAGTGCACGTCACACAAATGGATAACAACGTTACAAGAATGGTAAGATCACTGTACTTATCACCCATTGCCTCACGAATACTTCCATTTGTTTCAAAATCGCCCCAGTCAAGTAATAGTGAATTTGCGCTGTCGGTGTTGGTTTTCAGAGCTTCAGTAACCCTCATTAGTTAGCACTTATTCAACCGAGGGGATTGTGGGAGATAACTCGGGAATAATCGTCGCCCATGAAATCCTGGAAAATGACCCCCACCTCACTTCTCCTCCCCCGTCTTCATCCTCCATTCTTAAGTGGAAATTCGAAGTTGTGACGTTCCTCTTCACATGACAGCTTTACAGATCATGCTATACCAGTATACGCTTGGAAAGAGTGAGTGCACTGGTTACAAGCACAGGCACACAAGGATCGGCATCCTGTACGACCCAAACACCTGTTCTCTCCATAGTCTATCGACTAGCTTCATACCCACTTGGTGTTGCCAGAAGGAAACACACCAGCTAGAAGCTTGGGACCGCACTAGCTTTCAAATCGAAACCCTAAGCATAGGCCTACGTTCTTCACTGGATGGATTAGACGGAAGGAGATAAGTTGGGTAATACCAGTGCCAATATCGAAGCCGATGATCACATGGTACTTCCTGCAGCACCGTAATATACGGTAGCCATTGCCCGCAGCGTTCAAACTTCTTCTTTGCTCACGTCGTCTACTTGTGGCAATTGTGGGACGTACAGTACTATTACGAGCGATT